AAGATCAAGATGGACTGTATAGGCATGGAAGAATATTCATTTTTATTTAGGGACAGAACACCTGAAGAAAAAGGAAAACAAGATTTATACCTTTTAAATGTTAATATTTTTGTTTTCTTGTGCTGCTGAATGAGTCCTTCTCAGATCCAGAACAAATCAGCTTATTTTCTGTTTCATACATTAAAATCATATAGAGATTTTTAAACCATTAATTCAAATTCCATATAACTCTGGCAACTTCTGGCAAACCAGAAATTGTCAAGACTTATACTGTTAGTTCTTAAATGATTTGCGGATCTACATTACGACAATTAGATTCTAAGATACTGAATAACCAGGACTTCTGTGTTTCTTGTTTCTAATAGGAGCCCATTGACACGTTAAAATTGGTAATCTTTTTAAAATTGCCCAATCAATCATACTTTTACCAATGATTTTATTACTGCATTTCAATATTTTTATTGACATTTCTTGCATTTTTAAATCTGACTAATTAAGAATTTGGAATACCACTCAGAGAAATTGTCCAGAATGCATAACAGACATAATGGTACAGTTCATAAAAACATAGTAATGAACACTGATAATACTAATTCCCAAAGCAGTATGTTCTGGGAAGTGCATTACATAGAAGTCGCATAAACCAAGTTTACATTAATTACTCATGTTGATTTTGAACACACTGGCTTATTAATCTTTTTCTTTTTTTAAAAGAAAAGCTGCTGATTTTATAAAAGGAAATGTGAACTTATTTGTTTTTATTCTCTGATATGAATACATGGCTTTGGTTGGTTTCCACTCTTAATCTGAAAGTTTTTTTCCCCAACAATGCAACTTAACAACAAGCAGCCAACAAACACCCAGACAAGCTGAAAGTTATTCAACAATCAAATTGCTTAATTCTTAATTTCTCGTGTTTCCTCGTAGCATTTTTTCTTTTAGAAAAATGCAAAAAATACTTCGCAAATTCTAGTTTAAAAAACATTTTTAAAATCAGACAATTTGAAAGAAGCATATTCTGTACAGTTCAAGTCAAATCATTAAATCATAAAATTGTCCCTGAGTTATTTCCAATAAAATTTTGCTTCCATGTAAAAAATGCTATAATGGAATGATGGTTCCATGATAGGCATCCTTCATTATTCAGCCTAGAACAAAGATGAATAGTACATAGTTCAGATCACACAGAACAGAGGTATCTAATTTTACATCTATAAGGAAAACCAGGACCACAAGATTTCACAGTTCTTTATCATTATTTTCCAATCAAACAGCACATGCTTTTCAATCCAGGTGAATAAATCTTGAATGTTAAGATCTGAATATTCCTTTTTACCAAAGATGAAAAAAATCATAAACCTAAGAGCTTTTGATATGTTATGAGCAGCTGTTTATAACATTTTACAGTCTATTCCTTGGGAACAATACTTCCAGAGGTTTTTATTTTTATTTTAACCAATTTGAAAGGTTAACAAGAGAAAGGAAAACCTTAGAACAGTGTTTCTCAACCTTGGCAACTTGAAGATGTCCGGACTTCAACTCCTAGAATTCCCCAGCCAGCATTCGCTGGCTGGGGAATTCTAGGAGTTGAAGTCCAGACATCTTCAAGTTGCCAAGGTTGAGAAACATTGCCTTAGATGTTAGGTGAACCAACTTGCCTGAANAGTTTGAAAGCATGTAAAAATGCAAGTAGAAAAAATAGGGACCACCTTTGGTGGGAAGGTAACAGCGTTTCATGCACCTTTGGTGTTTAGTCATGCTGGCCACATGACCACAGAGATGTCTTTGCACAGCGCTGCCTCTTCAGCTTTGAAACGATGAGCACTGCCCCCTAGAGTCAGGAACAACTAGCACATATGTGCGAGGGGAAACCATTACCTTTACCTTATTTGTATAAGGATGTATATTCAAATATTTTCAATTATGGGTGCAATTTCTATTATCTCTGCTATCATTTCACTTCTTGCTAGAGCAGAGATGAAATGCTTATTTATAAATGCCTTTTCTGGAATTGGGGTATTGCAGAAAACCAGGAACAAATGAGTACAAGTTTATTCCACTCTAGCTCTTTACAAGAATCTGAACTACTAACAGCTAAGGCAAATTGGCGGTAGTTAAGAATCAATGGAATTGGCTGGACTTTGATCTTTAGCGGGGGCGAAGGGACTCCAAACTGATGACATGCTTGACCCCCTCCCTTGGGCTCAGCCTTGTCATCTCCTGCAATTGGTTTAAATAAGATGCATGATGTATGTATGTATGTACTTACGTACACACACACACACACATACATATATATATATAAAATAAAGCTAGAATTCAAAATATCCTTTTGAGAATCTTATAATACAAGACACTCAGTTTAGATATTTGTACGTGAATCATAGTTGTAATGGGAGAAAGTAAAAATCAATCCTATTCTTTATACATGGAAAAGAATCTTAAAGTGAAAGTTTCACAGAGAATAGATCTGTAGAACATAAAATAATAAATCCAGAATGTAAAAGTGCATGGATAATTATTTACATTTTATTAATGCTAAATAGAAACTGCATACCAGAAATAAGCATCTAAAATAACGCAGATATTAGATTTTTTTTAAATCATTTAAGTGCCACTGTATTTTCTTACTTTATAGCAAGCTGCTTCTGTTCAGGAGTTAGATCTTCAGCTTTTTTACCTATTCCTATCAAAAAGACATAATAATTAAATCAAACTTTGCAAAAAAGATAAGACAATAAAAATCAATTCTAATCAAAATTCATTCATCAATAGATGCGGGCATCTAACATTTATTTTCTGAGGGCTTCAGAAAGGGGATCTGGGCTTTCGAAACTACTTTAGACAATTCCTAGAAATTATGTTGGCTTATGGATAAAGAAATGCTTGATACATAATTTATTATAAACTTATATTAAGTGAACTTTCATAGTTCGTCTGATTAGGAACTGTAGTCAGCAAGGGACTCCAGTTATGCCAATAATCTTCTTATCAGACTCTAAATAGGTAAAGAAATACAGCTCTTAGTAGAATGTGTTTTTCTGCCAAAGGTGCTGGGCACTGCCAGGGATCTTTATTTAAAAGAACAAATAGGTGAATGGTAGCTAGAAACCTACCAACAATAAAGGTAGATCGTAGTACAAATTAGTGTAATAAAAGAATAAAAAGCAATTTTATTGTCCCTATAAAATGAGATGAGATTAACTCCACAGTTTTATATGAACGTATTAAAAGAAAGTCTCATTGAATGGATTTCTGAGCAAAAATAGGAGAATGGGATAGATGTAAACAGAATGTTTGATTCTTATTTGGACCTACACTGTCTGGTCCACCAATGCCCTTAGGCATTCAGATGTTAGAATTGGCTTTTTTCCAAAAAAAAACCGTTAAGCAAAAAACTAAAGTTTATCAGGAAATCAGGAAGTTGAGAAATCCAGGACCGTTCCATACAATTATCAAGAAAGCTATACCAATGTGATAATGTGGTCTCTCAGGAGCCAGTCTTGATTTGAGGGAAAATTTAATTTTTAATCTTTTTTTTTTTAAAAAAAGTTAGACTCAACCTACTTAGATTAAGTAATTTTGGATGGGCCAAAAGTTCACTGTATATCACTGACATGACACTGAAGAGAAAAAATGATTTAAATCCTCCCCCCTTCCCCCCCCACTAAGAATTTCAGGATGAGCCGTGGTGGCACAGTGTTAGAATGCAGTATTGCAGGTTACTTCTGCTGATCACTGGCTGCCTGCAATTTGGCAATTCACCAGGCTCAAGGTTGGCTCAGCCTTCCATCCTTCCGAGGTGGGTAAAATGAGGACTCACATGGTTGGGGGCAATATGCTGACTCTGTAAACCGCTTAGAGAGGTCTGTGAAGCACCATGAAGCGGTATTGCTATGGCTATCTAAATGTTTTCCTTTATTCCAGTCTCTTTCTTTGTAATACAGGTAAGGCAGAACACAATGTTTCAAAATACTGTTAAGAGAATGTTAAACCTACAAATGTTTGTTCTAAAATAAATATTTATACTTATGCTGTCAAGGGGGAAATGAAATTGATAACTATTTGTGTAGAAAGGGTCTATGCAGCTTTTAAACTCTTCCATAACTAACAAAATAATTTAATTGGTTAAGGAATCGTTTTGGTTTTTTTTGTTTGACAATTATATCTTTTCCTTCAAGGAGTTATATAGTTTCCATGGTTTAGGTTTGACTAAGAGCTGGAACTCCTGAATCCTGCTGAGTCATTAGCTACCATACCTTTTTCTTTTTTAAAAAAAAAAATCCTTCCACAAATATGACTCAGTCCATCAAAACAATTAAGGATGCAATTTCTGACAACCTTCTTATGATTTATATAGATTATTTGTAATGCTTTCAGTTCCATTTATAAAAAAACAGAACAAATAAGGGTTAAATAAGCAAAACTTCAGGATTTTTAAAATTATTATTACCAAACCTTAATTGTAACAAGATGACTTCAAGATCTTGGCAGAGAAAACACATACTGACTAATTTTTCCCCAAAGGCTGCCAATGCCTATTTAGAGAATTTAACACACAAGATGGCAAATGGAAAAATCATCTTCCTTACCATCGTGAACCTGGAATGCAAGAGTTGAGATCTTTTGTGTTACAATCATCAACGGGCTGTAATAAAATGCAGAAAGATAGCATTTTGCATGCTCCGATGTGTTCACATTTTTCACCTTAATGCATTCTTATGATTTAAACAAGCCTCAGATAAAATATTTTTACACCAATTCCCATCAGACACAGATAACATAGCAAAGACAATGGATTATAAGAATTATACTCTGAGTATCCAGAAATGCTCAGGATATCTCCCTGTGGCCACCAGTATATATACCAGAGGTGGGTTCCTACCAGTTCGCACCTATTCGGTAGAACCNTAGACCCATATTTATTTTGAATATAGTCAATCCATTTTACCTGTCCAGTCATTCCAATGCACCATTTGAAACTAATATAAATAACTTACTTGTATAATTTAATTGTTGGCTCAACAGCAAGAAGAACAAAGGGTGCCACAGTATAGCACACCGATAGCTGGGTTGCAAACCAGGTGACCATATCATAGCCCACCTTGAGCAGTTTGGATGAGATGAAGACAGGTCGACAATTGTTCCTAACCTTATAAAAAAAAATCGAAATGTTTTAAAAGAATTTTCACATGGTGCATCTCAAAGAGATTTCTAGTCTATGCATATGCCGCCTGGTTTTGATAAAGTTTTGCTGTAATATATGAAAATATTTGCTTTTTTCTTCCTATTGCTAATTTTAAAAAAACTTTCAAAAGCTGTGAGGAAAAGGAATAAAAAAGGGATTAACAGGGATACATACTCTTCTGGCTGCTAGTGTCATAAAGATGCCAGTGGTAAATGTAAAATAATATCCAGGATAAACACCATGCCAAAGAGCTGAGAGAAGAAACGTTAAGGCTGTAGGATACCAAGAAGTCCGATCATAACATACACTGAGAAGAAAATTAGAAAAAGAAAATGTATAAATATGCAGGTTACATGCAATTATATCTGAGTTTATTACTGTATCATAGAATCAGAAATGATACTCATTGTCTGTTTCAAACAAAACTGTTCTTAGAAGAGTTATTAAGGACTAGATGGTATTTACTGACTATTCCCCCTATTTCACTACACATAAAGGAATGGCAAAAAAAAAATCTGATTTTAGATATCATCATTAATTGAACTCGGATTTTTCATACTTCGGTAAATCTGAAATCTTAAAAGAATAAATATTTAGAGCACACAGTGCTTGTGCGGCTTTTGCAGTACAAAACTTTACTTTTTATTTTAAATTTATTGTTTTCTCGTAGAAAATAAAATACAAAATAGTAAAATAGAAAACAAAATACAAAATAGTAAAACAGACAAACCCGTTCAACCCCAACCATAAAAAAGAAAACAATAATGTATAAAAAGGAGGAAAGAGTGGTCAATTAAATTTAACATTTAACATGTAAGATCCACCCTGGCTGGTTGCCAAAATAATAGAAAAAGCAATAAATTCTTTTACATATTGTATGTATGTATGCATGTTACGCTAATTTTCAAATCCCTCTGTTAAACCTGTTATTATATTTAGCACGTAGGAAGTCCACAAACCCATAACTTTACTTTTGATCAGAAACTTACATAATTTATATTTACATTTTAGATTACACAATGGTTACGATTATTTGTAGAGAAGTGTTGCTAAGGTGCAAAGCATCTTATGTTTGAAGCAATTCTTTTACTGCCTTTGTCAATGTTTAGAAAGATCATTCCTAAATACCTCTGACAATAATCTACGTAATAGTTATTTTTTTTCTGAAAAGGGATTTTTATCCTCCTCCATCAACACGTGGAATCAAAAGTGGTCAATGGTGTAAATTAAGAAAGCAACACTATTCTTGTGCAGCAAATGAGGAAAACATTTCACAAACATTTCTGTACCCGAAGCTCAAGCCACAATCATTTCAGTATACAAGAAATCACTAGATTAGTGATAATAACAGAGCGCACGTATGCGCATGCATACACACCAGGGGTGGGTTCCTGCCAGTTCTAACCTCTTCTACAGAAGAGGTTCCACAAATCTGCAGTGCTGTTTAGAACCGGTTCCAGCTCCCTCCCCCCGCCCGTCCGCACATCATCAAGATGAAGGGCGAGAGGAGGAATTCTGGGAGTTGAAGTCCACAAGTCTTAAAGCTTTCAAGTTTGAACACCCATGGGGTTTTTTTTTCTAAAGGGTTAGGGGTGCAAGGTGTCTTGTAACTTGTCAGCTTTAAGACTTGCGTGCTTTAATTGCCAGAGTTTCTGAGCCAACATTTTGGTTGCTAAGCAAGAGCGTTGTTACGTAAGTTTCACCACATTTTACAAGTTGGCCATGGCACATTGGCGAATTGTTGTAGACCCTCTGAGGTAGGGGTTAAATTCATTTTTTTTTAACTGTGGGCAAG